CCCAGCGCCCTTCAGGGGTCCTGGGATTCAGGGTGGGGGTGGGCCCAGTGCCCTTCGGGGGCCCTGGGATTCAGGTGTAGCAGGGCTCCCCCCAGCTGGGTCAGCACTGGTCCCCCCAGAAGGGGCAGAGCAGGTGCCCCAGGGCCCCTACCTCCCCCAGCAGGCCCGTCCCGGCCACCAGGCATGTGGCTGACAGGGGAGGGCCCGGCCGGGATGGCCCGACGTGGGGGGTGTTTGCAGGGCCTTTGGGGGTGTGCGTGCGTCAGCCCCCGCTGGGAGTGGGTGATAATGGGACCGCTGCCTGCAGGATTTTCCAAAGAAAGCCGAGTCCTGATAAAGCAGGCCCAGATCCTGTTTGGCCACCGCTGCGCCCGCCAGCAGTGGTGATTAAGGGGCTGGACCGTGGGGCGCAGGCGGGTGCGGCGGGGGAGGACCCACCACCCTATATAAGGCTCCCAGGACTGGCCATTGGAGCCGCACGGGTGGCAGCAGCAGGCCTGCCGGGCCCAGCGCGAGCTCCTCTCCACGGTGTACCATGCTCCGGCCGTGGCTGCTGCTGTCCTGCTGCGGAGCCCTGCTCAGCACTGGTGAGTGAGGCCAAGGGGTGCCGGACACCGCGGTGCCCTCAGAGGGGCCCTGGGCCTTCTCGCCTTGCCAACTGGGCTGGCCCACGTGGATGCTGATGGACAGAAGGCCCCACCTCGGCTCCGTGACCAGCCCCCGCTGCCGGGCCCGGGTCCCCCTCGCAGCCTCAGCGCTGGGCTCTGCCAGTTGGGGTCAGGGACCCCATGGGGCCTGGGCAGGGACGCCCTCCTGTGGGCTGACACAGCGGCCAGCAGGGGAGGACGCTCGGCTGGAGTGGGGTCCGGAGGTCCCGCAGGAACAGTGGGCAGGTGTGCTGGTGCCCAGGCCTGGCGCTCTCCCTCCCCCAGTGGGGTCCTGAGTCCCGAGAGCTCTCTGGAGTGTGGGGGACAGAGGCCCAGTCCCTGCTGCCGTGGGCCTCCGTTTTCTAGTCTACAGAAGTGGGGGATGCTGCCTCCCCTGGTGTGGCCGCCGTTGGGGGAAGGGAGGGGAAGGTGCGCAGCCATTCTGGGCTCAGAACCGCCGCAGGCAGCCTGCCCTCTCCCCCACGCTCCCCTACCCAGCTCAGGCAAGATCCAGGAGGGACTGACATCCTGGATCCTCTGCCAACCACCTGCACTGCAGCTGCTGCAGGTGGCCACCAGTCCTGCCCCAGGCCCCCAGAAGGAGCCAGCCCCAAGGGGTCCCTCTGTGGCCACAGCCTGAGGCCTGGGGAGACCCCTCTTGCCGACCAAGGCACCAGCCCAAGGGCCTCTGTGTTCCGTGCTCCTCCTTCCTCTCCAAGCTGGCCCCTGACCCTCCTCCACAGCCGGGAGTCCCCTGGGGTGGACGCTGGCCGGACAGAGCTCACCCTCGGAGCTGCTGCCAACCTGGGGCCTCGGGCTCAGAGCACAGTGGGACCCCCCCAGGGGTGCCCCAAACCCGCCCCGCCCCTTCTCTCCCTTGAAGCCCCTTCCCCACCACACCGGGCACCACCCTTCAACGGTGGGAGATGTGGGGGTCTCTGAGCCCTCCCAGCAGTACCCTCTGCTTGGGACCCCGGCCCCCACCTGCACACCTGGCACAGCTTGGGGACAAGTGCCAGAAAGTGGGGCTGAACTTGCAGCAGAGCGCGACCCCTAGTCCCTCGGGCCACCACCCTGGAGCCAGGGAGGGAGGTGTGATGAGGCCCAGGGAGCCTGGAAGTCTGGGCTGTGGGCAGTGCAGAGGGTGGAGGGCCAAGTGGGGGTGTCCACCGGTTACCCCAGCAAATGCTCTCTGAGCACCGCCTCTGCCAGCACGGGAGGGGCCTCAGCCGGCAGAGTGTGGAGTCGGGCAGCTGTGCTGCAGGCCTGGGCCACAGTGGGCCGGGAGGCAGGGGTGGGTGGCCGCCAAGCGTGCAGAAGGAACAGCGCGCACCTGCCGCCTCGTGCTCGTCCAGGGGCTGAGAGGCCGGGGGTGGCAGACCAACCCGCCCAGAGGCCCATGGGCCTGGCCGAGGGATGAGCCAAGGGGAAGCACAGCCAGTCTGGGCAGGAACGCAGGAGCCTCCCACTGGGCTTCAGACAGAGCTGGAGGCAGCCGACTTGGAGCCAGTGGACCCAGGGAACCTCCTGCGGGTGGGGCAGGGCAAGGGCGGTGGGGGACACAGGGGACGCAGCAATGAGGCTCCCACCCGGGGCAGTGGAGCCAGCCTGGCAGGGCCGAGGGCACCGAAACACGGGCCTGAGGTGTCTGTGCTGCAGCGGGGACGGCCACCAAGTGCCATCCCCCATCTGAAAGGTGGAGAAACTGAGTTGCAGGGGGCATTGCCCAGGGGAGACCTGTCACAGCTCTGCAGCCTCCAGAGGTGCTGGCCTAGGGGCGGGCAGCCGACTCCTCCTCCCGCTCAGAGCTCTCTCACCCCTCCCCCACCAGAGGCCAGTGAGGGCCCCGTCCCAGGAACCACTGAGTTCCGTGGCTGAGGGTTCCGTGTGTTGCACACTCCTACAACAGGTGCTTCTGAGCCCCATGGATCATCCCTGGAAGGAATGGCAGGGGGCTGAGGACCACGACACCTGCTGGGACCCCCAGGAAGGGGATGGGTGAGGGGTGGGTGCTCGCCAGGCTCAGGGCCCAGCATGAGCCACCCCCACCCAACTCTGGAGTAAACTCAGCTTACATTGGGGATAAGCCAGGTGCAGCCCATCAGAAAACAATCTCAAGGCCAAAGGGGACCACAGCCAAATGTGTGTCCCCCACAGCCAAGACTAGCATTCTCCTTAAATCCAGTCACTCAAATATCCAGCAACTTCTGCCTGTGCCAGAGAGGACTCACCCAGGCGGCCAAGGGGCAGGCAGCCTGGCTCCTCCCTGGACCGTGGGTAACACCATGCCCCAGCTGACAGGCTCCTGCCCCTGCGTCACCGGAGACACAGGTGTCCAGTGGTAACGGGGGCAGCACCAAGTCAGTCCCAGAAAGTGGGCAGAGCCGGGGGTGGGAGCGCAGGTGGGGAGTGGCAGGAACAGGATCTCAGAGCTACGGCTGGAGGGAGGTGCCGTGAGTGCCCTGCTAACCAATGGGCAGGGACAAGGAGGGTCCCGGCCCCGAGAGGGGTCTGGAGAGGTCATGGGTCCTGCTCAGGTGCCCCACCAGTACTCAGACATCGGCGGCCCATGGGAGCCACAAGAAGGGCCACAGTCCCGGAGGCAGGGTCCGGGGAGTTAACCAGAGGTGGTAGAAGTCTCCCTCCGGGTAAAGGGGATGGGACCTGGGGGGTGTCGGCCCCACCCCAGCCTCCGAGTCAGAGTGGGGCATCCCCCGCTGCCCTGCCCTGGAGTCACCATGACTGGGCTATCTGGACATTTCTCTGACAACAGTGGCCTTGGTGCCAGGCCTGACATCAAGGCTGTCTCAAGGCTGATGTGCAGGCAAGTGGCCATGTTTAGAGCCACTGAGGGCAGGGAGAACCAGCCGTGGGGCCTTGGCACAGACCCCTCAGGGAAACCAGGCAGCCAAGCTGGGGAGGTGGGCACAGCCCGTTCTGTTGGCTCCACTCTGAAGCCCCTGCCACCCACACCAGCCCCTCCTCGCCCTGCCCAGGAGCCCCAGGGATGAGTACCCTGCACACAGGGTGCCTGTCATCTGCTGAACCCCAAGGGGCTGACGGCTGAACTGGGACTGAGTGGACGAACGAGGAAGTGAATGAAAGCAGGGAAGGAAGCCGGGGCTCATGAAGGACAACACGAGAGGCCGAGCGCTTGGCCTGCTGTTGAGGCCTTGAGCCCCACGAGCCATGGATGTTTCTCGCACTCCGAGTGTGTGCAGGGGCACAGGCAGAGCAGCCCTGGGCAGAGGTGAGCGGCGCCCTCAGGGACGACAGGGCAGCCCCACACCAACCGCGGGTCCTGTCCACACAGGTCTGGCCGACACTTCCTACACCAGCCCAGGCCTCTGGAGGCTGAAGGACTCTCCACAGACAGGTAAGAGCGCAGCGGCCACTGATCCTGCCGCCCAGACCACCCAGGTCCGGTGTGCAGGAGAGAGGGCCCCCCAAGACACACACATCCAACACACATACACACACATACATGCACCAACAAACACGAACACACACGCATATGCCAACATACGCACATGTACCAACATACACATGCACATACACCTGACACACACACATACATGACACAGATGCATGAGCACACGTCACATACACACCCAACACACACTACACACACCCAACACACACTACACACACCCAACACACATGCACACACAACCCAACACACATGCACACACACCCAACACATTACACAGACACAACCCAACACACATGCACACACACCCATTACACAGACACAACCCAACACACATGCACACACACCCAACACAACCTACACACACAACCAACACACACTCCACACACAAACCCAACACACACGACCTACACACACACCCACTACACACACACAACCCAACACACACTACACACACACAACCCAACACACATGCACACACCTGACATACACATGTACATGACACATGCATGAGCACACGTCACACACACCCAACACACAACCAACATACACGACCTACACACACTCCTGACATACACATGCACACACCCAACACAGCCAAACACACACACCCAACACCCACGCACACACATCCCAGACATGCAAATGTGCACACATACAACATGCATGACTTATACATGTGCACGCACCCAACACACAACCCTACACACACATGCACCATTGTACACACCCTACACACACCTGAGACACGTGCCCAACACACACATGCACACTCACACACACGCATACACCCAGCATGCACACACATGCACTCAACACACATGCCCAGCTCACACAACACACACATGCACACAACACAATCACACCCAATACACATGCAGGTATATATTGTACACGCCTACACAGCTCTCCAACACACACACTCCCAATGCACGCATGGACACACCTGACACGCATGCACACACCCCCAACACACACATACGTGTACACACACACACGTGTGTACATATGCCCACAGCAGTGCTGACTCCTGGCCAGGCATATACCATAGCACTCAGGTTCACTCAGATGCCCATGTCTGGGGTTTCCACAGCCTGGCCCCAACTCTAAAACCCTGGCCCAGGGAGATGAGTGACCTCTCTGCCTGCCTAGCCCTGCCCGGCCAGGATGGTGGGGACACAGGGTTTTGTGTCAGCACTGCTATCTCTGTAGCCCCAGACAAAGGCCAGTGCTCCACGTGGGGGGCTGGTCACTTCTCCACCTTCGACCACCATGTGTACGACTTCTCGGGGACGTGCAACTACATCTTCGCGGCCACGTGCAAGGACGCCTTCCCCACCTTCAGTGTCCAGCTGCGGCGAGGTCCAGACGGGAGCATCTCGAGGATCATCGTGGAGCTGGGGGCCTCCATCGTCACCGTGAGCGAAGCCACCATCTCAGTCAAGGACATCGGGTAGGCCAGGTGGGCTGGGGCCCGGGGGCCGGAGGACTGAGGGGCCACCACCGACTGCCCTCGCCCCACAGGGTCATCAGCCTGCCCTACACCAGCAATGGGCTCCAGATCACACCCTTTGGCCAGAGTGTGCGGCTGGTGGCCAAGCAGCTGGAGCTAGAGCTGGAGGCCGTGTGGGGCCCTGACAGCCACCTCATGGTGAGGAGAGAGGGGCCAGGGTGGGCCTGGAGACCCACAGCACTGGGGGGGCAGGTGGGACTCTGGAGGAGCTGCCCTCCTTGGGGATCCCAGCCAGCCCTCAGGCTGCCATGCAGCCAGGCCCTTTGTGCCAAGCAGTGCTGACCCCTGGCCAGTAACATGAGCTAGGACTGGGTTTTGTGGGTGACTCAGCTTCTCCACTGGAAAATTAGGCTCCCACAAGAAGCAGCAGACGAACAGGGTGGGGGGATGGTGGAGGCTCTGGGTCCAGGAGCAGGAACTGAGAGCCCTCCACAGCGGATGAGGGGCACCCCGGTCCCCTAGCTCCCTGGCCCCCAGCAGAGCCGTCTCCCGCAGGTTCTGGTGGAGCGGAAGTACATGGGCCAGATGTGTGGGCTCTGCGGAAACTTTGACGGGAAGGTGACCAATGAGTTTGTCAGTGAGGAGGGTAGGTGGGGCCAGGGCTGGTGGGGGCCTCTGTTCTGAGCAACAAGGGTAGGTGGGGGTAGGGCTGAGGGTCTCAAGGTCGGGGACAGGGCTGGGGGGCCTCTAGGTGGGGGGGCAGGGCAGGGGTGCCTCTGAGGCCCAGCCCCCACGGTGCTGATCCCTGTCCTGCACCCCCAGGCAAGTTCCTGGCACTCCACAAGTTCGCTGCCCTCCAGAAGCTGGACGACCCCGGTGAGATCTGCACCTCTGAGGACATCCCCAACACCCACGTCCGGCAGGTCCAGCATGTAAGCAAGGGGGCTCCAGGTGGGGCTGACCCCAGGTCTCACGGGGTCGCCAAGACCACCAGGGTCCCCCACAAGCAGCCCCATCACAGACGCCCTGCCCTGACCTCCCCAGTCATGGTGGCACGGGGTGTGGCCTTTGCCCCCATGACCCTGAGCGGCCCCCCCAGGCCCAGATCTGCACACAGCTGCTGACCCTGGTGGCCCCCGAGTGCAGCGTGTCCAAGGAGCCCTTCGTGCTAAGCTGCCAGGCAGACGTGGCCGCAGCCACCCAGCCAGGCCCACAGAACAGCAGCTGTGCCACCCTGTCCGAGTACTCCCGCCGGTGCAGCATGGTGGGCCAGCCCGTCCGCCGCTGGCGGGGTCCCGGCCTGTGCTGTGAGTCCAGGGAAGGGTGGCGGGGGGCAGGGAGGCCGAGGGCTCCAGACCCAGCTCTCCCAGCTCCTGGACTGCCTGATGTGACGCCTGCATCCGTCCTCATCTGAGATCCCGGCTGCTGCTTCTAGATGGAGGAGGGGCTGGGCTAAGTCCTCCACCAAGCTGGGGTGGGACAGGGAGGGGTGGGGGGGACCCTCTCACCAGAGCCGTGTGTGCCCACAGCCGTGGGTCAGTGCCCAGCCAACCAGGTGTACCAGGAGTGCGGCTCGGCCTGTGTGAAGACCTGCTCCAACCCGCAGCACAGCTGCTCCAGCTCCTGCACCTTCGGGTGCTTCTGCCCAGAAGGTGAGGGCAGTGGCAGGCACTCACTCTCCCCGGGACCCCTGGAGAGAGCCCAGGGACAAGGGGACGTCAGACTCCACCCACCCCGACCCGGCTCACCCCAACATTCTGCCGTCTGAGTCCCAGCTCCGGCGCCTCTTGCCCTGGGACAGGCTTTTCCCGCCCGGACGCTTGCAGCCTGCAGGTCTCCCAGCCATGGCCACCCCTGCAAACTCACAGGCAGTGAGGGCTGCTCACTGGAGTCGGGGAGCTGCCGAGAGAAGGTGGGGTTTGAACTGGGCCCATGGGACAGTTACATGTCCCTGCCTGCTGGAGGCCGCCACTCACCAGGAGCCTGGGCCGGGCACACTGGCACGAAGGGCTGTGCACGCACAGGGCCTGACGTAGACTTTGCAAATGCAAGTGCAGCTGGAGTGAGAAGTCGAAGCCCAGGCTGGAGGGGCGTCTTCTCGGAGCCAGGTTGCGGGGGGTGGGGGGTGTCTCCCTGGAGCCAGGGAGGGGCCGCCCAACAGGAGAGTGGGAGGCAGTCAGTCCCACCCAAGCCCCAAGAAGCCCCGCTATTGCAGGTACGGTCCTGAATGACCTCTCCAGTAACCACACCTGCGTGCCCGTCACCCAGTGCCCCTGTCTGCTCAACGGCGCCATGTATGCCCCCGGGGAGGTCACAATAGCCGCCTGCCAAACCTGGTGAGTGAGGCGCTGGAGGGGGCTCTGGCTGGCCGGCAGGAGTTCCGTTGGCCTAGGGCGGGTAGGGGTGTGCTGCTGTCCAGCTCCAGCGGCCCTGCCCACCATGCGGTTGCCCCCATGCCCACCCACAGCCAGTGCACCCAGGGCCGCTGGGCGTGCAGGGAGCGGCCATGCCCCGGCCACTGCTCCCTGGAAGGTGGCTCCTTCGTCACCACGTTCGACGCCAGGCCCTACCGCTTCCACGGCGCCTGCACCTACATCCTCCTCCAGGTAGGACGAGCCCCATGGCCCGTGGGGAGGGGCACTCCCGGTGACCCCACCCATGCCTGAGCACCAACCCCTCGCAGAGCCCCCAGCTTCCCGAGGATGGTGCCCTCATGGCTGTGTACGACAAGTCCGGCTTCTCACAGTCCGAGACCTCCCTGGTGGCCGTGGTCTATCTCTCCAGGCAGGTAAGGCCTTTCCCGCGCCCGTCCCTGCCAGCAGGGCTCCGCTCCCTGGCGCCTGCGCCCTGACTCAGGCCACCCTCTCTCCAGGACAAAATTGTGATCTCTCAGGACGAGGTGGTCACCAACAACGGAGAAGCCAAGTGGCTGCCATACAAGACTCGTATGTCCTGGCCCAGTCCCTGGCCCCCCAGAACAGTGCCTTTGGGGTGGGCTGCAGTGGGCAGGGAGGGGGCTGAGACGGCCCATTGAGCACTGTGTCCTGCAGGCAACATCACGGTCTTCAGGCAGACGTCCACCCACCTCCAGATGGCCACCAGCTTCGGGCTGGAACTCGTGGTCCAGCTGCGCCCTGTCTTCCAGGCCTACATCACTGTTGGGCCCCAGTTCAGAGGTCAGACCAGAGGTGAGTCCCTGCTCCTCCGGGTGGCCCTGTTGCCTCATTCCTACGGGGCCTGGCCATGACCAGGGGAGGAGAAAGGTCCAAGAGAGGTTCACACAACCCTGTGTATCTGGGGAGCCCCCGGGGGTAACAGGCACATGTGGCCCACGTGGCTTCTCACCCAGGGTGCTATTAGAGGAAGGACGGGAGCTCCAGGGCGTGTGGGCAGGAACAGGTGCAGGAGGGACGGGCTCAAGCTGCACTCACACCTGCCGGCTCAGGGCTCTGTGGCAACTTCAACGGGGACACTACGGACGACTTCACCACCAGCGTGGGTATCGCCGAGGGCACCGCCTCGCTGTTTGTGGACTCCTGGCGGGCGGGGAACTGTCCAGCCGCTCTGGAGCGTGAGACTGACCCCTGCTCTATGAGCCAGCTCAACAGTGAGTGTCCGGCCCCCAACTCCCCCTGGCTGCCCCCTGGCACCCACAGTTCTGACAGACCCCTGGACTCGACCACAGGCCCAGCTGCCAGGGTGGGGGGTCCCTGGGAGGAGCCGTGGCTGGAATGGGGAGGGACCGGGACTCACACCCGGGCCTGTCATCCCCAGAGGTGTGTGCGGAGACCCACTGTTCCATGCTGCTGAGGACAGGCACGGTGTTCGAGAGGTGCCATGCCACAGTGAACCCCGCGCCCTTCTACAAGGTGAGGGCCCGAGGGCGTCTTGGGAGGGCTGCAGGGAAGGCCGTGGTGGCTGACATGGTCTCAGGCACCCAAAGGCATAGGTTTGGGGCCCCCACATCCCCAGGGCAGGGTGCCTGCCACCAGCCCATGCTGGCTCTCTGCCCGCAGAGGTGCGTGTACCAGGCCTGCAACTACGAGGAGACCTTCCCCCACATCTGCGCTGCCCTGGGCGACTATGTACACGCCTGCGCCTCACGGGGCGTCCTGCTCTGGGGCTGGAGAAGCAGCGTGGACAACTGCAGTGAGTGCCCAGTGGGGCTTCAACGGGATCACAGCAGGCTGGGCTCATGAGGGGGTGTCCTGGGGCCCCAAGCTCTGAGGCTCTGCAGTGCCCGGCAGGCAGTGGAACCCAAGCTCGCCCTCCCCGGCCGGCCCCTCCCAGAGGGTCTGATGCCCGGAGGGTCTGATACCCGGGTCCTCCACAGCTGTCCCCTGCACGGGCAACACCACCTTCAGCTACAACAGCCAAGCCTGTGAGCGCACCTGCCTGTCGCTGTCAGACCGTGCCACCGAGTGCCATGCCAGCGCGGTGCCCGTGGACGGTTGCAACTGCCCCAATGGCACCTACCTGAACCACAAGGGCGAGTGTGTGCGCAAGGCCCAGTGCCCGTGCACACTGGAGGGTTACAAATTCATCCTGGCCGAGCAGTCCACCATCATCAACGGCGTCACCTGGTGAGGGGCCAGGCAGGGGCCAGGCGGGGGGTCCCTGCCGGGCCCCGGGGGCTCACGCAGCCTCTCTCTTGCAGCTACTGCATCAATGGGCGGCTGAGTTGCCCGCAGCGACCACAGATGTTCCTGGGTACGTACAGCAGTGCCGGCCACAGGCTGGGACTGTGAGGGGCCCCGGCTTCCTCTCAGTGTCCTGACTGGGTGCCCCTCTTTCCTATAGCCACCTGCCAGGCCCCCAAGACCTTCAAGTCCTGCAGCCAGTCCTCTGAGAACAAGTTTGGGGCGGCCTGTGCCCCCACATGCCAGATGCTGGCCACTGGTGTTGCCTGCGTAAGGGGGCGCGCAAGGAGCGGGAACGCCCAGGCCCCACCTGGGCCATGCGGGAGTTTCCACAGAACCCCGGGAGACCCGGCCATGTTCTGCCCTGCGGCGGGTGCCTGGGGCTGGCCAGGAGGTGGGAGCAGCCCTGTGGCCGGGCAGCTGGAGGCCCCAGGGGCTCGTCTGCAGGGCTCCCTGAGGACAGTGGCCAGCACCAGCTTGGGGAGGGTGGGTTGTCCACGTGTAGGGATGGGTACAGAGTCCCAGCACCTTTCACAAAGTGGGGGAAGCTTTGCTAAGGCAATAAGCCCAGCTGCCCACAAAGGCCACAGAGTAGGGTTGTATTCAGGGAGAGGGCCTGGGAGACACACCAGGTGGTCTCAGAGGGGCCCAGGGCTGGGCAGCGGCTGGCTGAGGCCACCCTTCCAGGGGCCACTGACCTGCCTCCCTCCAGGTGCCCACCAAGTGTGAGCCTGGCTGTGTCTGTGCCGAGGGCCTCTACGAGAATGCCGACGGGCAGTGTGTGCCCCCTGAGGAGTGCCCGTGTGAGTTCTCGGGGGTCTCCTACCCTGGGGGAGCTGAGCTCCACACCGACTGCAGGACCTGGTGAGACAAAGCGTCGCTCCAGACCCCATGGGCTCCTGGGGCTGTCTGCGGCAGGCAGGGGCTGCCCAGGGTGGGGTTGTCCCGGAGGTGGGGGGCATCCAGAGGTGCAGCCTGGCCTCTCCAGGGACCACACCCAGTATGGCAGGAGGGCCACGGGCCTGCCACCCACACCTACTGTCTCCACAGCACCTGCTCCAGGGGGAGGTGGGCCTGCCAGCAGGGCACCCACTGCCCGTCCACCTGCACCCTCTACGGGGAGGGCCACATCGTCACCTTCGACGGCCAACGCTTCGTATTCGACGGCAACTGCGAGTACATCCTGGCCACGGTATCCACCGGGCGCGGGGCCGCGGGGCCCGGGGACCCAGAGGCACGTCCCCCAGGGCTCCTCCTCAGTGCCCTCTCCCTGCAGGACGGGTGTGGTGCCAATGATTCACAGCCCACCTTCAAGATCCTGACAGAGAACGTCATCTGTGGGAACTCCGGGGTCACGTGTTCACGCGCCATCAAGATCTTCCTGGGGGTGAGCAGCAAGGCAGACTCTGGCAGGGCGGGAGGGGCGGGAGGGGGCCCCTGCCACACAGCTGGACCCTGCCCACTGGAGCCTCCAGGTCCTGCCCTGAGGTGCAGCTCTCCCCGCCTGCCTCTCCTTGAGGGGTGCCTGCTGCCCCTCCCTGGCCAGACACTCAGGACCAGGGGTGCTTGTCCCCCACAAGGTTTCAGGGGCTGCGCAATGTCTCCCAGGCAGAGGGGAGGGACTCTCCAGGAAGCCCGAGCTTCAGCCCTCAGCCCTGTTCCAGGCATGCCAGGCCCTTCTGCCCCAAGCTGGTTCTCAGCAGATGCTCCTGTGCATGGCCTTAACAGACCTGGCAGCTCTGCCTCTGAGAGCTCGGTCCAGCACGCCTGTGCCAGGGGCCGGGGGAGACAGGCAGTCCCATGACAACCCTACTGCACAGGGCCTGTCCGTGGTGCTGGCAGACAGAAACTACACGGTCACCGGGGAGGAGTCCCACGTGCAGCTCAGTGTGAGGCCGGGCACGCTGAGCCTTGTCGTGGACATCAGTGTCCCCGGAAGGTACAACCTGACACTCATCTGGAACAGGCACATGACCATCCTCATCAGGATCACCCGTGCCTCCCAGGTACCGCACGCCCTCTGCGTCCTCCCAGACCCTCCCCGATGCAGGGGTGGAGACGGATGGCACAGTCCCTGGGCCCGGCCTGATACCGCTGCCTGCAGGATCCCCTCTGCGGCTTGTGTGGCAACTTCAACGGGAATATGAAGGACGACTTTGAGACGCGCAGCAGGTACGTGGCGTCCAGCGAGCTGGAGTTCGTGAACTCGTGGAAGGAGAGCCCGCTGTGCGGGGACGTGAGCTTCGTGGCGGACCCCTGCAGCCTCAATGCCTTCCGGCGCTCCTGGGCCGAGCGCAAGTGCAGCATCATCAACAGCCAGACCTTTGCTGCCTGCCACAGCAAGGTGGGCACCGGGCAGAGGGCTGTGCGCCTGCTCCTCCACAAACGTCCGGTGGGGGTGGGGGAGGGGGTGGGGGCCGGGCCCTGTCTGGCCCAAGGTGGGAAAGCCAGGCACGGTTCTCCCTCCATAAATCCCAGACCAGCCAGATCAGGGTGCAGAGAGGCTCAGACCCTCTGCCTGAGCGCAGGGCCCTGACGTGGGGCCGACTCGTGCACTGTGGCTGTTTAGCAGCCCCCGGCCTCTGGCCACCAGATGCCAATAGCACCCCCAGACAGTGCCATGAGTCTCCTGGGGCAGCATGGCCTGGTGGGGCCCCCTGCTCAGGAGCCGGTGGTCAGGGAGACCTCCAGGATGCAGGGCACGCGCTTCCCGGCCCAGGGTGTGATCCAGTCATCGGGGTGCAGTAAGAACTGAGAGGATGGGGACAACCCATGGTGGAACAGCATGGCACTGGCCCGCTGAATGTGAGCGTGGCGTGGGGGGAGCGGAGACCCCGGGCAGGGCTGCAGTGGTCATGGTTGGTGGCAGCGTACCTTGGTCCCAATGGCGGATCTCACGGCGTGAGCTCGGGTCAGGCCTCCGTGGCAGCATCGGCTTTGGGAGGGTGGCTGGCGGTCAGGGCTGAGGTCCATGTGCTGCCGCTCACCCAGTGCCAGTGCCCTTGCCGCCACACTCTGGCCTCACCACACTGAGGGCACTGCAGGTGGCAAAGCCTGGTGCCCCGCCATCCCCCGACGGCCAGACACTGACTGGCACACGCCCCTACAGGTATACCACCTGCCCTACTACGAGGCCTGCGTGCGCGACGCATGTGGGTGTGACAGTGGCGGGGACTGTGAGTGTCTGTGTGACGCTGTGGCCGCCTACGCCCAAGCCTGTCTAGACAAGGGTGTGTGTGTGGACTGGAGGACCCCGGACTTCTGCCGTGAGTGACCACCCCACCCACAGGTTGCTCCAGCCCCTGACACCCAGCACCACTGAGGGCCAGCGCAGGGCTGCCCTCGCCCACAGGCCCCTCTCCCTGGACAGGCACCAGGCTGTGCCCTGCAGGGCCACCCTGGTCCTCCCGCAGCCCCCAGCTGCCCAGGGGAGGTTTCGCCAAAAGGGCCCAGGCCTTCCCCGCCCACGCTCAGGTTCCACACATGCCCAGGGGAACCACTGGGTCAGGGCCAGGGCCAGGGCCAGGAACCCCGCCAGCTGACATGTCCCTTCCTCCCAGCCATCTACTGCGGCTTCTACAACACGCACACGCAGGACAGCCACGGCGAGTACCAGTACACCCAGGAGGCCAACTGCACGTGGCACTACCAGCCCTGCCTCTGCCCCGGCCAACCACAGAGCGTCCCAGGCAGCAACATCGAAGGTGCCAGGTGGCAGGGAGGTGACGCAGATACACAGGGGGACCCATTCACTCATTCACGCACATTCATTCACACACATTCACTCATTCACACACATTCACTCATTCACACATTCATTCATGCTCATTAATTCACACGCATTCATTAATTCACACATTCATTCACACATTCATTCACTCACACATTCACGTTCTTTCATGCAGATTAATGCACATTCACGCATATTCATTCACACACATTTGTTCATCCACTCACGCATTCACGCATTTATTCACGCACCTTCATTCATGCTCATTCATTCACGCAGATTTATGCACATTCATTCACGCATATTCATTCATGCACGCACATTTGTTCACTCACATTCACGTACATTCACTCATGTACATTCATGCACATTCATTCACACACATTCACTCCACATTCATCCATTCACACTCACTCACGCACACTCATTCAACATATTCATGCTCATTCACGCATTCACTCAACACATTCATTCATGCTCATTCACACATTCACTCATGTACATTCACGCAGATTCATGCACATTCATTCATGCACATTCGTTCATTCACTCATGCACATTCACTCATGCACATTCACACATTCATTGAACATTCACGCACATTCATTCACACATTCATCCATGCACATTCATTCACTCATGCTTGCTTATTCAAGCACATTCGCTCATACACATTGATGCAGTCATTCACTTGCACATGCATTCTTTCACACACAATCATTCACTCGCTCAGCAGATGCGTCCTGAGCACCTCTGTCCTCCAGGCCAGTTCCAGGTCAGGGGACCTGGCCTTACACAAAACAAACAGTCCTGCACCCTGAGGCTTCCCTCCCAGCCAGGGAGAGGTGCCTAAGGAGGCAGAACCAGTGTCGTCCAAGGCGCCCACCATGGAGGGGAGAAAGGCAGGCCAGGGTGGGAGAGCTACCCCATGGCTTCCGTGCCACACAGGGTGGTTGGGGTCCTTGGTGGGAAGCAGATGTGAGGGTGAGGATGGGAAAGGTGAGGCGGGGAGCCAGGAAAGTGTCCAGAGGAGCAGCCAGGAGCAGCCTTGTGCCCAGAACCCTTGAGAAAGCCAGGGCAGTGGGCAGAGCGAGCGAGTGAGGGGCGCGGGGCTACAGAGGGGTGTGGGGTACACAGAAGTGTGGGATGGGGTGTGGCCAGGATGCAGGGGTCTTTGTGAGCCCTGTAGCTGACCCAGGGCAGATGTCTGAACGCAGATGGTCTTGGGATTAACAGATGCTGGCCCAAGCGGTGGAGGAGGGTGATGTCTGGAGCCATCCGGACACACGGGACAGATGCACTGGGGCTCAGGAGGGCAATGCAGGGTACCTGCATTGGGGAGCACAGAAGAGGGGGGCCAGTGTCTGAGGTCCAGGGGGAGGTGAGGACTGGAAGATGGCACTGAAGCCCCAGCCTCGGGTGATAAGCAGGGGATGAGAGACCAAGGCCCAAGGAAGGCATGGCGGGAAAGGAGTGGCTTAGAGCAAGGTGCGCGGGTGAAACTGTAATCCCTGCACACTGAGAGGCCGAGGCAGGCAAATCACCTGAGGTCAGGAATTCGAGACCAGCCTGGCCAACATGGCGAAGCCCCATCACCACTAAAAATACAAAAATTAGCCGTGCATCATGGCACACGCCTGCAATCGCAGCTACTTGGGAGGCTGAGGTAGGAGAATCACTTGAATCCAGGAGGCAGAGGTTGCAGTGAGCTAAGATCACGCCACTGCACTCCAGCCTGGGCGACAGAGCGAGATTCTGTCTCAAAAAAAAAAAAAGGCAGAGAGGAAGGAGGCCGTCAGGACAGGAAACATGCAGGTGGGCCTGGCTGGCCACTGGTCACACAGCCTGGCCGTTCTCCACCCTAGGCTGCTACAACTGCTCCCAGGATGAGTACTTCGACCACGAGGAGGGGGTGTGCGTGCCCTGCAGTAAGTCCAGTCAGCTGCCCTGAGAACCCCTGCCCCTGCCTACATGGAGGCAGAAAGCATGTCTGCATCCCACAAACAAGGGAGAGAGCCCTCGGGGGCTGTGAACCCTTACGTGAGCTCTGGGACTCGACTGTCCGGGACCCTGGCCCCTTGGGTCTCCAGAGACTCAGGCAGCCTCCAGCCCATGGCAGCAGAGAGAAAAAAACAGCACTGAACCCCATTGGGCCCTCCCATCCCTCTTCCACCAGCCCCCAGCTCCCCCTACCCTCACCAGGCCTGCCAGGGTGCCTGGGGTAGAGAGTGGGAATCATCCTGGGAAGGAGAAAGGGAGAGAGGGAAGGGTAGGCTCCCAGCCCCTCTGATCCCCTCCACCTCATCCTTGGTGAGCATCTCTGACTCAGGCCCTCGGAGCTCCCGGAGGCCCCACGGGGTGGGGAGGCTTCGAGCGCCACAGGGAGCTGACGCCGTCTTCTTGCAGTGCCAGCCACCACACCGCAGCCATCCACCACAGGTGATTGCACGCACACTAGGTGCCAAGGTGACGCGGCCCTTTCCTGGGCTCCCCTTGGCTCCCTGGACAAATCTGTTGGGTGGGAAGCAGGGAGGGGGCAGGCAGTGCCCGTGCCCTTCCCAGGTCTAACCTGGCAATCAGAGCTGGGGGAGGAGCTCAGCCCACAGCCAGGCAGCAGCCGGGTCCCCGTGGCTCTGGCTGGACCCACGGATGAGCACACAGTGGGGCCTCAACAGGTGACCGCCGCCATGCAGAAGGCCCGGCCAGGAGCCAGGCTGCACTCAGAGAGCCACGGGCCAGCCCTCAACTGAGTGCCCAGCACATCAGCCCCTGCAGGGCTGCCCGGCTTCAGGGCCAAGCAGGCAGCGGGGAGGGTGGTCCCCAAGGATGTGCCAGTGCCCTGCAGCCCTGATGGCATGTCCGTCCACCCAGGCTCACGGCCCACACAAGTCTGGCCCACAACGGGAACCTCCACCACCATCGGGCTTCTCAGCTCCACCGGACCCTCACCCAGCTCCAAACACACCCCTGCCAGCCCCACCCAGACACCCCTCCTTCCAGCCACGCTCACATCCTCCAAGCCCACGGCCTCCTCGGGAGGTAAGGAGCCTCCAGATGAGCCCATGGAGAGGGCAGCTGCAGGGGGTCCTAGGTACACCTCTGGGGTGGGTTCAGGGATGGCCCCGCTTCCTGGCTCAGATCTGCCACTAAGCAGATTCTCAGCATAGAATTTCCTATGCTTGGGAGCCAAACTGGGGATTTTTCAGAAAAACTTTTAAAGACAAGCTGGTCACGGCACAGGGCATTCCTTGCTGCTGGCTGCTGTCACTAGAAACCGTGTGGGACCTACAGGGCCTCTGCCAGGCAGCCTGCCCCTGCCCTACACCGAGCAGGGCCCCATCTGCTGCCCAGGGACCCTGGAGGGGACAGGACAACCATCCGCTCAGCCGAGTAAGGGTGGGTGCAGGAGCAGCTGCAGCCCCATGAGCGTGTGGTCACTGCTCCAGCTCTGGCCGCCACAGCCAGGAGTACGGCGGGAGGACCTAACAAAGGCAAGAGGAAGAGCCCCTCCAAGGAGGCTGAGTCCCGGACAGCAGGCCAGGGATCCCAGGAGCAGGGCAGGGGGCTGGGACATAAGCCTTTGAGATGCAGGCCCACAGGAAGGGGATGTTCCGGGCGGCTGTCCTCTGCAGAATCACCTAGACCAACCACGGCCGTCACCCCACAAGCCACATCAGGGCTGCCTCCCACAGCCACACTGAGATCGACAGCCACAAAACCCACAGTGACCCAGGCCACAACCAGGGCCACGGCATCGACCGCCAGCCCAGCCACAACGTCCACAGCTCAGTCCACAACACGGACCACGGTGACACCACCAACACCAGCCACACCAGGGACAAGCCCCACACTGCGTAAGTCATGGCGCCACAGGATGCCAACCATCGCGAAGGCACCCGGGCCCACCTCCAGCTCACATTTGGTGACTCAGCCACAAAGGAGACCCCGTATTTCCAAAAGGGCACCCCGTATTTCCAAAAGGGCAAGCAGGAAGGCAGCTCAACAGCGCACGATGGAGCTAGATGCGAGGGAGGGCCGCCCCGCACCCACAGAGGCAGGCCTGGGGAGCAGAGGTGCAGGAGGGCAGGGGCCACCACCAAGGAACCAGAGGAGGATAAAGTAGGGCTTGGGCTCCAGTCACAGAGTGGCAGCTGCGCTGAAGGAGTCAGCACTCAGCTCGGGGCAGGATGCGGAGCAGGTCCAGGTGAGATGGAGACACTGGGGCAGGCTACAGTGCCCAGCAGGGGCCATGTCACAGGACCAGAGACAGAGACAGGCAAGAAAAAGGTCACACGGACAAAAGGCCAGCAGAGGTCAGGGTAGAGAAACAAACACAGTAACGATGACAACTTCACCAATTCCCACAGCAAAATCGACAGATCAGGAACTGCCAGGAACAACGGCCACCCAGACGACAGGCCCACGTCCAACCCCAGCGAGCACCACGGGCCCAACCACCCCACAGCCAGGACAACCCACGAGGCCCACAGCCACAGAGACAACTCAAACAGGAAAGACTACTGAATACACAACGCCCCAAACCCCACACATCACACATTCCCCACCAGTGGGGAGTCTCGTTACTTCCACAGGTCCTATGACTGCAACATCCTTCCAGACCACCACTATCTATCCAACACCATCACACCCTCAGACCACACTTCCCACTCACGTTCCACCTTTCTCCACCTCCTCAGTGACTCCAACTACTCACACAGTCATCATCCCTACCCACGCACAGATGTCCACTTCTGTCTCTATCCACTCAACGCCAACAGGCACCATTCCTCCACAAACAACAGTCAAGTCCACAAGGTCCACCCACACAGCCCCACCAATGACGGCAACAACCAGTAGGACCAGCCAAGACAGCAGCTCATTCAGTACAGCCAAAACCTCTACATCCCTACACTCATACGCTTCCTCCACACACCATCCTGAAGTCACCCCAACTTCTACCACCACCATTACTCCCAAGTCCACCAGTACAGGCACAGGCACCCCTGTGACCCACACCAACTCGGCCACCAGCAGCAGGACACCCATACCCATCACAACACACTCCCCACCTACAGGGAGCACTTCTGTCTCTTCCACAGGTCCTATGACTGCAACATCCGTCAAGACCACCACTACCTATCCAACCCCATCACACCCTCAGACCACACTTCCCACTCATGTTCCAGCTTTCTCCACCTCCTTGGTGACTCCAAGTACTCACACAGTTATCACTCCTACCCACGCACAGATGTCCACTTCCTCCTCCATCCACTCAAAGCCAACAGGCACCATTACTTCACCAACAACCCTCACGGCCACAGGGTCCACGCGCACAGCCCCAACAATGACGGGGACCATCAGTGGAACCAGTCAAGCCCAGAACTCAATCAGCACAGCCAAAACCTCTACATCCCTACACTCACATGCTTCCTCCACACACCATCCTGAAATCACCCTAACTTCTACCACCACCATTACTCCCAACCCCACCAGTACAGGCACAGGCACCCCTGTGGTCCACACCACCTTGGTCACCAGCAGCAGGCCACCACCACCCTTCACCACATACTCCCCACCTACAGTGAGTAGTCCCGTCTCTTCCACAGGTCCTATGACTGCCACATCCTTCCAGACCACCACTACCTATCCAAACCCACCACACCCTCAGACCACATTTCCCACTCACATTCCACCTTTCTCCACCTCCTTGGTGACTCCAACTACTCACACAGTCATCACCCCTACCCACGTACATTTGTCTACTTCTACCTCCATCCACTCAATGCCAACAGGCACCATTCCTCCACCAACAGCGCTCACGACCACAGGGTCCATGCACACAGCCCCATCGATGACGGTGACCACCAGTGGGACCAGCAAAGCCCCGAGCTCATTCAGCACAGCCAAAACCTCCATATCCTTCTACTCACATGCTTCTTCCACACACCATCCTGAAATTACCCCAACTTCAACCACCAACATTACTCCCAAATCCACCAGTGCAGGAACCAGCACCCCTGTGGCCCACACCACCTCGGCCACTATCAGTGAGCCACACACACCCTTCACCACACATTCCCCACATTCAGGGAATAGTCCTGGCACTACCACAGGTCCTATGACTACAACATCCTTCAAGACCACCACTACCTATCCAACCCCATCACACCCTCAGACCACACTTCCCACTCACGTTCCACCTTTCTCCACCTCCTTGGTGACTCCAACTACTCACACTGTCATCACCCCTACACACTCACAGACATCCACTTCCACCTCCAT